ATTTGACTGTATGATCTGGTGAACTGGAAAGTGCTTTGAGATGACATGATGTGAATTGGCGCTATAGAAATAAACTGAATTGAATTGAATCTCTAAGACCAGAAAAATGATTCTCGTTTCGGCTGCCAAGTCCTAGTTGTTAAAGATTTCATGGCTCAAAAAGCTGTTGCATCACAGACTTAATATTTAGAGATTTTCTTGCCACTTATATCACAAATCCCCTGCTGAGTTAAAAAAAAAAAAACAGCAGTTTGAAACCCCTCATTATTTGGTATACGAAGGATTAAAAAAAGTCTAAAAAATGTAATATGAAGTCCTGTATACAAATGATCTAGTAAAAGATTATATATATATTTTGTATATGAATGGCTCACTAGTAAAAACTATCACAGAGAAAGAAATATCAACAGTGAGGGACGAACCGAGGCTTCAAGAGGGAGAGAATTTAACTTAAAACACAAAGTATTCAACATGTAATGGTTTAGCTATTGGCATGCTCTATGTATATCAGCATCCATCGTGGTTTAGCTACCTTTACCATCAGCTGGAAAGTGAGTTGACCCCAGTTCTAACTGTGAGATGTCTAAACGACTGCAGCTATTCCCTAATCAATCATATTAAGGAAATCATTTTTCAGAAGGATGAACCAGAGCAACGTAACTGTTGCATTTTCACCAGTCTGTTTGTCTCTCCGTGTTTTCACTAATTGTTTTATTCCTTACACCATTGTTTTTCTTCTGTCTTTATTTATAATCACCTTTTTAATAGTAGAAAAATATATTTTCTTCATTCTGCCAGAAAGGTCTTCCTGAGGGTTTTTGACCAAATCTTTAGTTTCTGACCTGCAAACTGTCTGTTAGACCAGTAATGCAGGAAATCAGTCAATTCTGGTTAGCAGCCATTTTTGGGTGGATCTCTACAAAATAAAATGTTAAAATTCCTTTTTTTAATGGAAAGGTGAGGTATTAATGTGATTTTTAGATGATGTTGGAGTTTAATTTGAAAACCATACAATTTGACACTATTGTAATGATGTGTTGCTGAAATAAGTTGTAAGAGAAACAATTGTTCCTTTAGTCTGTATTGTTGTGCAGAGTGAAACTGTTCCCTCCTTGGTGTAATGCTGGTGTTTGTCCTCCACAGGGTCAGCTTTCCCACGCCTTAAACGGTCTTTCAGACCGAGCCACCGAGGCAAAGGAGTTCTTGGTTCAGCTAAGAAACATGGTGCAGCATATCCAGGTACTTACGCATTCATTCAAGCAAGAAGATAATTATGTTTCCCTTTATTGCAACCTCCTAAAATCTACATAAAACACACCTGCTTCTACTCTAACTTGTGCATTTTCTTATTACCAAGCTTCTGTCATTTAGCTGCATGTAGAGTTACTGTAATAAGGAAAAAACATTGTGATAAAAGTTTTATTGACTATTTTTTAAAAGCTCACTTGGAAGGTAATTTTATCCTACCTTTACAAAGATAAGTTGGGGTGTTTGTGGATTAGAGTTAAGTTATACTTATAAGGCTTCCTCAGGTGAACCACATGAAGTCACATAAAGTCATGAAACTTCAAAGTTAAAATATGCAGCTTGGTGAAATAATAAAAAAAAAAAATAAGAGACAACATTGGCTGAAATTGACTAGTGAATTTCTCATGATGCTGATGACACTGTGGTATACAGCATGTTGGATTTAGAAGCCTGCGTGAAGACAAAGCCAGATGAAGCTGCTGTCAGCCTAATATGGCGATTAGAGCAGTGAGGTGGGATTAAGGGCCTCCATTGATAATCATCCCACACTTAGACACATGTATTTACTGAGTGCTACTCTGAGGAACTCAATATTACAGATGTTTGAAAATAGAAAGCAATATTTTTCAAGGTATAAACATTAAATTTTCAAGGATTGTTTAATTTGTAACAGTCATATTTTTATTACAATATTTTAGATTTGTACTTTTTTATTTATAAAACAATGTGTAGAAGTGTGGAGCATTAAGGATGCAAAAATGTGTGTGTTTGTGGATTTACCAGAGAAAGTATGTTCATAAACTGTTAAATAAACTTGGAATCAAACACATTTGATTATGTACTTGAAATACATTTTAAATCAATCGATCAATCAGGCATTATTTATGAAGCTCTTCTCATACCATCAAATGTAACATTTAACATTTACCAAATGCAACACAAAGAAAATGTTTCTACGGAGTTTAAAACAAGAAAGAAAACAACCATTAAAAAAATGCAAAGAAAGTCATTTTAATTTATTTTAATTTGAAATGAAGTATATAACGGCAAATATCTGGAATTTTAAAGGCATGTAAATAAAGCAAAAAGGAGGTAAAGGCTATATAACCTTGGGGAGTGGCAGCATAGTGGTTAGGGCATAGAGCTTGGAATCCTTAAGGTTGTAAGTGTCATGATGGGTATCTGAATTAAGCCCAAAATGCAGAACACACACAGAAACTGGGTAAAAGTTCAACAGAGTTTATTTGCACAAGCACAAGGAATGAAACACTGGAACTGATTCAGGGTTGGTTCACTAAAGTCTTGACTGGGACTGGAGACTGTTGGTTAGCAGAGTTCATGAGAAGCTAAGCGTCTAGCTTCAGGCTTAGCATGGCAGACCTTGATCCGAGCTTCCAGCTCACTGCAGAGAACAACAGGGAATATTCCCACAGACTGCCACTCTGGCTCTCTGAGCAAGACCCGTAACCCCACACTGCTCCCCAGGGGCCACACTATGGCAGCCCACTGCTCCCCAAGGGGAGGGGTTAAATGCAGAGGTACATTTCTCCAATGTGAGATCAATAAAATTCAATTATTATTTATTAACCTTAAATTGAAGTTATTATGGATTTACACTGTGCTGAGATCAATATAAATTATATTTAAGACACAGAGGTGGGTAGTAATTAGTTCCATTTATTATTTAAGTAATAATTAAAAAAAAGAAAGTACTTTTAGGAATAGGTTTACTCTGCTGTACTTCTTACTTTTAAGTGAGTAATATTCTTATTTATTATCGCTACTCCTTCTCTGTCCTCTGTGAGTAATTTGAACTATTCCAAAATCAGGTAAACATACAGTAAACAGTGAAAGTTTGTTGCCTTCTCCTAACATACATACAGGTATCATTGTCTGCATTGGTTTTATAAGTTTTATGTTGAAAAAAAATATTGGTTAAAGTATTTCTTCTGAATGAATTTGTTCTTTTTTATTCATGACATTTATTTGTTATTCTTTAGGCGTTTCAGTCTTTAAAATGCCAGAACCTGCATATAAAGTCTGTTTGCCAGCATAATTGTCATGAAACGGTGTTTGTTTGGAGGACCCAAATGCAGAGACCAGTTGGCAGAGGTGAATTAAAGTCGGTTTATTCAGGTTCACAGGTCCAGGGACAGGAATCAAAGTCCAACAGAAAACAACAAACGAACCTGAACCAAGGAGACATCAGGGGAAAACCAAAACTAGGAGCCAGGGAGAGACGAGGTACACAGACAGAAGTTAGACAGAAGTTAGACGAGGATCCAGCAAACAGGAACTGAAGAGGGAGGGCTTTTAAAGGGGACAGAGACAAAGAGAGGGCTGACAAGGGGATTAAAAACAGGTGCAGGCAGAACAGAAAACAGAGCAAGGGAAAGAGGACACAAGAGGGCAGCAGAGGACAACAAATGGAAAACCAAGAAAAACAGGAACAAACAGACCAAGACTGACAGTAATTTATAAACATTAAATCTGATGTTATTATCCAACATTTACCTTTTTACCGAATACTTTTTAACTTTTCCTTGAGTAATTTATTGGATCACTATTTTTTACTTTTACTTGAGTAAAAAAATGTTAAAGTAGTGCTCCAACTCTCTTAAGACATTTGCAATATAAAGAATAATGCACATGAATTTTCTTAAAATTTGAGAGAAACAAATTGTTGCTAAACTTTGAGTAAAACCAGGTTTAAAAAGATTTGAATTTGCGTCTAAAACCCTGTCCACTTACAGGGGCCCTCATGTCTTCAGGAAAGCTTTTCTAAAGCAACGTTATGGAATACATTTACTAGCAGGTTGATTCCTAAAACAATTAGATTTTTAAGCCAGTATACATCAGTGCATCTATGCTGTTATTTAACCACATCCACATAGGAAGCTGACACCGTGAAGGGAGGTCAGTAGGTGTTTTTGGGCGGCTCATGTCTGTAATGGGTTTTATTTGTCCATCAGGAAAATGGTGTGGAGTTTGAGGCCTGTCTGGTGGCGCAGTGCGATGCACTCATCGACGCCTTGAACCGACGCAAGGCTCAGCTTCTGGCTCAAGTGAACAAGGAGCACGAGCACAAGCTTAAGGTGAGCAACACCCATCCACATCAGGTGGAACCATGTCTGCATGTTTCCACTAAAACACACCGTTTGGTGCGTGACTTCCACACTGCTCGGAAACAAAAGAGAGAAAACGGAGGCTGTAACACTAAATGATGCATGAGCTTTCACTGAAAATTAAGTTTCAAATTGGAATGAGAAAACAGAATCTGGTGCCTTTGTTGCTTCTCAGTAAATCAGATTGAGCTGCCATAAACTGGAGCTATTACTTGCCCTGAGGGGAGTCAATCTGTCATCATTTCCTGCAACATAAAATGTTTCTCTGCAGCACAAGTACTTAAAAAAAACACCTTGTTTTAGAATATTGTTTTTAAGGTTATAGATTTGCCCTATAATGTGTATTTCTTATTAGTTTCTGATTTGATGGGTTTGATAAAGATTTGGAAAATAGCAGTCTTTATTCTGATAATTTCTGAAGTATTTCTTGCTGTATTTTCCTTCAAAGCCTCCACAGCAAGTGGAACTAGACCTAGAAATGAGAGGAGGATGAGGAGAGACACATTTGTTTTTGTACAGCATCCAATTTCATGCTTGGACGCTGTGCAGAATCAGGGTTTAACACGTGTAGGTGGGTTGAACAACACAGCCTGTGCATGGCAACATGTGAGCAGACTTACACACAGCATAGACAAACAAGATTCACAGAATTTAAGTCTCATCTTTACTTATAGCTGTTTTATTTCCTCTTATTTACTGAAATAAAGGTTTTTTGCGAAGGACAGTGCAGCACACTGGAAAAACTTCTGTTCTTCAAATCAAATCAAATAGTCCCAACAGTTTGGGGGTGGGAAGTTATTGGAGAAGAACTGAATTTAATACCTTGCAAAATTCCCCTCCACATTTTGTCCCATTCCAAACACAAACTTTGTAATATATCATTTAGATACAGTATATCTACTTTATGTGATAGATTTGTTTTCATGCTCCATAGGAACCCATTTAGGAACCCTCCACCAGCTTTGCCCACTTAAAGATTACAATGTTTGGACATTCTTTCTCGCAAAAAGCTCAAACTCAGTCTGATTGAATTAAAATTCAATTTTCTTTAAATAGTTTGTGTTTAGCTTCATCCTTCATCCTACTTCGCTGCCAGACCTGCCTGCAGAAACATATTAAAAGGGGGGCACGCTTTTTCAACAAACCTTTTTTTTTTCCTTCAGGCTTAAAAATGGGTCTTTGATCACTCCTACAGTGCAGAGAGAATAAAATGTCATTCAATAGAAATCTACCAAAATAAAAAAAATAGACAATGAAAAATGCATTGTGCTATGCTACGGCTATGCAATTAACTCAAACATATCAATCAACATAAGCACTGACATCAGGCTGATCACTGACTGAAGTAAACATTGATACTAGGAGAGGTAAATCCAGCAACACTTGGGAATCTTTACAAATCTTGCATCAGAAACAAGAATGGTGTCTTTCCCCAAGCTGTGAAGGCAATCATCCACCTGCTGCCAGACACTTAACTTCCTATTTAACATTTGAAGTCTCCCCTAACGATGCTGGTTCTTCACACTTTTCTATACCTTATGTTTGTGTATTATAGGTGCATTTGGAGCCAGGCTATTAAAAAACTCATTATGGTGACATAATGACAGTAAAGACTCTTAATTCAGCAAGGGAGCACAAAGATTACAGGGTTTTTGTGGATCAATAAAAAACATTAAAAGTCATAAAATTCTAATTTTTTTAAATTAAGACCTTAATTGGCTTTAAAAATCATTAAATGTGTTTATAGTGGCATTTAAAATGGTTAGTTAAAGGAAGAAAAAAAAGGTTTATAAAAACAATTTTGTCAGATATATTAGAATGAACTGAGAGCATTAAAAAGCATTAAATTAGAGTAACTCATTCCTGTCTAAACCCCGGATTAAAGCAAAGTGTTATTCTTGTGCTTGCAACTAACCCAATTTGTGTTTGGGTGAGTCTGTGTGGGAGGTGTATGGAAGCATCGGTGTGGGTCAGAGAGAAAAACTTATCAGGAAATTTTTTGTAATGTTGCCACGCTTCTCCTGTGGCTGAATAAACCAGAATATTTCCTGGAATTTCGCTGCTTCTTTGAAAAACAAAAAGACATGCAAAATACTCAAATATGAGGAAAAAAGCTTATATTATTGCTTCTTTTTACATTTTTATCACATGACTGTGCACCTTAAAGTAAGCCATGCTGCTCTTGGGGATTGATTTTTGATTATTTTTGGATTGCCAGAAAACATAATCACTTCTACAGCCCATAATGTGTTACCGTGCATATGTCAGGTTGGTGCACATGTGCACCACAAAGTGAATCCTAATGCAGGTAGCAGGCCTGAAATTGCTCTTAATCACATAAGTTACCTGCAGAGTTACTGAGGCAACACATTATTGCTCTGTTTTTCAGGATTTTATTTTTACTTTTTCAGTTAGAAGGGATGTTTTTGTGGAATCCCTGATAGGAGCTTGCATGCATTAAACATTGCTAGACTATATGCTTTAGCTGACAACAGCTTTACCCAATCAGGACCTTTTTTTCCCCCCAGTAGACCCATATATTATTTGAAGTATACTAAAACAGCAGGATTCAATTTAGTCTAAAAAGTCTTAAAAAATACAGACAATCTGTCTGAGAGGAAACTGTGGTTGCAAATGATGCAGCATCCTTGCTACAGCCTCTCACTCCTCTCCTGTGTTTCACGGCCCCTAACACTGAAGACTGGCCGTCACCATGGTGACCAGTTTAGCTTGCTGTTGCGAAGCCATGGAAACGAGAGGTAGTCCTTCATTGCATGAGTCAGGTTAATTTTTTTCTATCTCTCAGAACATCAGGAAGTCTGTTCCGTGTGTTTGTTGAAGGAGAGGGCAGAGGCGGAGGCTTGTTTTATAGAGGTTTGTCACATGGAGAGGTTACAAAAGCTCCTCTACCGAGTCTCGCTCTAACGCCCACACAGACATGTGATGCTGCCTGGATTTGAGTGGAAATAGAAATGCAAAACTGAGCCAGCTCAGAGAAATAAAGAAAGAGTTGTTTCTACATTTCAAAATACGATAGCCACAAATCTCAATGAAATTTATTGGGAATTTGTTGTGATGGACCAAAACAAAATGGAGGTTATTTGCAAAGGTGCATGAAAAGGGTGCATGACTTTGTTATTGTTTTGTAACAAAAAAATGTCTCATCTCCCAATTTAATTATTCAAATTCATTTCACTGCAATCTTAGCTGCAGCTCTGCAAGTTCTTTGGTCACCGCAGTACAGAAACTTCCCTTGTCAGGGTGTTTATTGACAGAAAGCAGACTGTAAAAGTTATTCTGATTCTGATACCAGTATAGGAAATGTCTCAGATGCTGCTGAAAATGCAGGCATAGTATTGGCGAATATTGGAGTCCAGGCATCGACTGGATAACATGTCATTTTAGCGCATGATGTTGTTGGATCATTAAAATAAGTGGTCCTCCTAATCGTCAGTCATTCTGATGATATATGTAAGGCCGTCCTACGTACTCGTCCCCATTTTCACTTGCAGCTGGTGAGTCTGACATAGTGTTGAAAAAGTAAGCTTGCATGAGTGATGCAAAGAGCAACTTTTAAATAGAGCGTGCACGAGGAGAAATGGGCTCCTGTACGCTCTCACACGCGTTTAATAGGCGTGTTTAACAGCCGTTTAATAGCTTGGTAATACTATTACTACTAGTACTACCAATACTACTTGTGTTTTTTAATACTGTGCTGTTTTAAAAAGAAATGGCTTAAATTTGCTGTATTTATTCATGTTTCCAAAGGTTTAACCTCAGCCAGGCCTTATCACAATAATTATAATGCGGTCGTGCAGGTTTATTAGGATTCTATAAATATATATAATTATATAACAAACAGCTATGCGTTAAAATGTCACTATGTGACCAACAACAACTTAAAGCCCTGTGTAAGAAATCAATGCATAGATGTGTCAAAAAATTTTCAGCTGAATGAAAAAAAAAACAAGAAGAAGAAATACCCAATGGAAGAGTGTAAAAAAATAGTACACAACTTTGGTTAAAACAGCTAGAAACCATCAGGCTCTAAATCTGGTTGTAGGGATGGACTCCAGTCATCCCTTCAAGTGATTCCAGTCTTTAAACGTCTGCCTTTTATCACAGAAAGAATATTTCAAAGGACCTTGAAAAACAAATTCATGCGCTTATCTTTAGCATAATTTATTCCTACAACAGCATCTTCACAGGTCTAAATAAAAAGTTCAGTCCAGAATGCCTCTGCCTCCATCATCACTAACACTAAGAAATTGGAGAACATCAGCCCAGTTTTCAGACAATAGACTTTAAAATACTTTTGTTAGTCTATAAATCATATTCTCGGTTTATAAACCACAGAGACCTCTCAGGTCTTCTGGCCTAGATCTACTCTGCATACCCAGAACCAGAAGCGGACATGAAGGCAGCTTTAAGTTGTCACGCTCCACAATTCTGCAAAGTTAAACTAAAAAAAAAAAAAACTAAATATGATCAACTCTAATTGGGTAGACACAGATCAAGGGGCCTCCAGAGTTTCTGAGGCACATTTTTAAACCATGTGGCACAGAGCATCTTGGTGCAGTCCGGCAACAAATCAGAGAAGCTAAGCTGGGAGCTGGAAGGGAGGCAGACCCTGCATCAGAGCCCTGATCTCTTCTCTAGAGCTGTCAGTTAAAAAAACTATTGAAAATGAACAAGAACATATATAAAGGGGAGCAAGCTAGGTTTACATTCAAAACCATGAGAATGTATATTTTCATGTGCAAAGAGAGTACTCTGGTCACTCCATTAAAATATTACGTTAAAGGACTTTGGTGAAACTGTTCATGAATACCTACATAAAATATCAAAACTCGCCAACAAATTATGTTCAATTTTATATTCTTGAATTTGGAGTTTTTACCACTTACCTAAAGACTCTTTTGATTACCTCTAGCAGCTACAAACAACAGCACCAAATTACGGTGGCCCTG